AAACCCGACATGGACTTTCCCTGGGATTAATTAAAGTAACCAGATGTGACAGTAAATATAGACCCTAATATTAAAATAAATAAAGGGAAGGAAGAGGCAAAATCAATGAAAGAATGAAAGGAAAGATTCTCAGAAGGGCTTTCTCAACAGTTCTAGTAGATACAGTTCATACCTTTTTTTAATTAAAATTATCAGTACTTTCGATCAGTGACTTAGTACTGTAGGATGTGGCTCCCATGAATCACCCATGGCCAAGTAAGGTGAGCAACTTGAGAGACCGCCTGCTGCCAATTACCTCCAACAGACCTATTAGATCCCACAGATTAGGCCTCCTCCGAATTCCATCTATTGGCCAATGCCGATTGGCTACCACCCGGAGGAGGGCCTTCTCTGTGGCTGCTCCGGCCCTCTGGAACGAGATTTGGACCCTCACCACCCTTCAGGCTTTCCGCAAAGCCCTTAAAACCTGGTTGTTCCGACAGGCCTGGGGCTGACGGATTCCCCGCCCCAGCTCGAACTGCGTGGTTGTTGAGTGTTTTTTTTAAATTGTTTGTAGTTGTTTGTCCGTTGTTGTTTTTCCTTCTGTTGTATCCCCCCCCCCCCATTTTGGTTTGTGAGCCGCCTTGAGTCCCTCTGGGAAATCCAATAGAAATCAAATCAAATCAAATCAAGGAACCAGAAGTTCTGGCCTTCCTAATGTTGCTGAGCTATCGTTCTCACTTGAAATATCCTAATTAGAGCTGCTGGGAATTTTAGTTCAGCGGTACCTGGAGATATTACTTGACCTTAGTTTACCTCCGAAACTAAGTAGGTCAGATTTGGTTAGTATTTGTGGGAGAGACCATCAGGAAATGGGGGGGGGGGAAGAGGGCGGATTCTGGGAGGAGGTCATGGCAAATTCCTTCAACATAGCCATAGTTACATAGACCCATGAAGCCAGCTGGATTTCAAAGGGACTGGATCTTTGGTAGCTGGAGGATGGGGCCCACGGCATTCATTAATTGTGGGGCTTATTAATGGCTTGGTTGAAAGATGACCATGCTGGTCACTTACAGTGGCCAACTGGGGGTTTCTGGAGAGCTTGTCGTTTTTCTTTCTTCCCAACAAGAGCAATCAGATGCCACCCCGAATAGGGAGCCAGCATAGCTGGAGCAAATAATGTAGAAAACCTTGCGCGTCTGAGTGAGGATCGGAATCAGTACCTTCCTCCCCCAGTCTATGGGGCCTCCCGGTGTATTGGGGATGGGTGACTTGGGGACCTGCTGGCTGGGAATTCTGGGAACGGCGATCCCCATACTTCGCTGGAACAGATTTGAAACGGGGTGCCCTGTGTCTGGTCCTCGCATCCTCCATTGAACTCGATGAATTGCAAAAGACCCTTTCCTGCCCTTGGCTCTTTGGAAGTCTCCCCCTCTCCTTGCAAGCAGTGGCCATTCCGAGAGAAAAGGGGGAAGGCGGCAGCAGGGACAGCAAAGAACCAACTAGCAGAGTCTTTCAGAGCGTTACAGGCTATTATTCATTTCGCCTAGCGCTCCCAGAGTAGCGTCTCCTTCTCTCCACCTGCGGCGGAGTTCGGCGAGCAGACCGGGGAAGCCAGCAGACGGCTACCTCAATTTCGGATCGGCCAAACTTGCGATCTCTCTCCATTGCAGCTCTTTGGGGCGGTGTAAAGACTCCCTTGTTCCTGTCCAAGCGACATCACGCGGCAGTTCAGATGCTGTATTGTATTGTATTGTATTGTATTATTTGTATGCCGCCCTTCTCCGGGAGGACTCANAGACAAGGAACAATGGATGGAAACTAATCAAGGAGAGATTCAACCTGGAAATAAGGATAAATTTCCTGATAGTGAGAAAAAATCAACCCATAGAACAGAAGTTGCCTTCAGAGGTTGTGGGAGTTTCATCCCTGGAGGCTTTCAAGACGAGATTGGACTGGAACCTGTCAGAAAAGGTGTAGGGTCTCCTGCTTGGGCGGGGGGTTGGACTAGATGGCCTACAAGGTCCCTTTCAATTCTGTTAATCTGTTAAAACCAGGGAAGCCCAGTGGCCTTTGGGGGAAAAAAGCACCTTTGGAATGACCACAATTTTATGACGGAGAATCTCCTTCTTCCTCCAGAGCAGCTGGGGGGGGGGGGAGATGTCATTTTTCTCCTGCATGAATTTTACATTCTTTTCATCCGCTCCCAAATTGCCGTTCAGCCACGCATCCTTCCTCCAATGTGACAAAGCCATGCTCCCTTTCCTTTGTAGAATAAAGTTTGCACAAGCCTCCGTTATGTTCAGAGAAAATATTTGCTCTCCTCATTTGGGGCTCTTGCAAGCAGAAGGACTACAATTGCTCTCCAATTTCTTACAAGTGTCGACGGCGGGAAGCCGTACAAAAATTCTCCCAGGCTGATTGACTGCAACGTGACCCTTTTGCCGAAAGTGAGCAATCAGGAGAAGTTGACATTTACAAAAGTTTACGGAAAACTCTTACACAGATTTTCCCATTATTATTTTTGGGGGGCTGGGTCTCCAAGGGTGGCAGTGCCCTGCCTTACAGGTAGTCCTCAACTTACAACAGTTCATTTAGTGTCCACATTACAAGGGCACTGAAAAAAGAGACTTACCATATTTTGGGAGTATAAGATGCACCTTCCCCCCCTAAAAGAGCGTGGAAATGTTGGTGCGTCTTATACACCGAATACAGCCATTTTTGGCATCCTGAACGCCTGCTCCCGCATCCCATTTTTGTGAAAAAAAATGGCTGTTTTTCGCAAAAAACTGAGACTTTTTTTTTGCCTTACCCCTGTCCTGATGAAGCCTGCAGAGTGCTGCTGAGAGCTGAGGGAAGGCAAAACCTTTTTTTTCCTTACTTACCGCTTTGAAATCTTGGTGCGTCTTATACTCTGGTTCGTCTTATAGTCCGAAAAATATGGTATGTCCGATTTTCACACTTACGCCCACTGCAGCATCCCTAGGGCAGTGTGATCAAAATTCAGATGATTGGCAACTGACTCGTATGTCAGGCCTGCCGCCATCTTTTCTTTTGGGTCTTTGGTCTGCCACACTTTCTATTATTCTACTCTGCATTTTCTATGGTGGGAAAATGGGAGGTGAGCTTGTAGGGAGTTAGATGCGATGTAGCCATAACAACATTCTTTCTAGAATGCCAAGGTCATCCTTTGTCTCTGCTCCTCGGCCCCTGACTGGAACTGGATGGGTGGAAGCTGCCGGCGTGGCTGTGGGAGATTGGACCATGGGATGGACTTGTGGGTGTGGAGGCAAGATCTTGAACTTTCAACTGGGTGGGAAGCTTTCAGATTCGGGTTTTCCCAGATGTGCCAACATGACATCTCTAATAAACTGGAACTTTGAGGAATTCTTTGCCTCGGACTCTGATTTACTTTTGGATGCTATTTGGAACCCTGACATCGTATTTGTGATGGTTGCAGCGTCCCAGGCTCACAAGATCCCCCTTTGGCGACCTTCCGATGAGCAAAGTCCACGAGGAAGCCAAATTCACTTAACAACCGTGTTACTAACTTAAGAACGGCAGTGGTTCCCCTAACCCCTGTGGCAAGAAACATTGTAAAATGAGGCAAAGCTCACAAGCAATGTCTCGCTTAGCAGCAGAAATATTCGGCTTGATCGTGGTCGTACGTTGACCACGACCGTTTTACTCTTAGATAGGAAAAACCAAAAGGACAAGCATGAGGCGAAACCTGTCTCAAAACCAGTCACTGTGAGAGGCACCTTGGAGTCCTAGTGGACAACCATTTAAATAGGAGCCAGCCGTGTGCAGCAGCTG